CTTTCCAAGTGCTTTTTGTATGTAAACTCTTCTCATTTCAAAACTAGGGCTTTTGATTTCTAGTCTTCTGTATTTCCCAGTTCATTAACAGCTGGGGCATCTGAAAAGCACTGTCTCGGGAAGGAGTTTGCCTTGGATCAAGTCTCTGCCCATGATTAAAGCAAGGTGTATAGCTTGCAAGGACACATAGCATAATCTCCCTATGTGTTAGTTTCTTCACCTTACAAAGGAGAAACAATAATAATTATTCAAGGGATTGTCATTTTGATTGAAATTATGCATAGTAAGTATAAGGCATAGTATAAGACATATGACAAATCAAAACTATGTTTGCAATTACTATTCCAGAAGATGGAGTGTTAAAGAGGTAACACAATTTAGATGGAGAGACTGCTTTGGGAAATGGCTTATGATAAATAAATACTGTGATATGGAGACAATAGGGGATCAATAAAGAGTAATCAAGGAACTCACATAGGTTCCTGAAAGAAACAAATGCATGCTCCCATAGTGTATGAAGCGTTCTCGATTACTCCTACAGGACTTAAGTGTTTTTTATTTTATCTTCATAGCAACATGGACAAGAATCATATCTGAATTAAAAGATAGAAAAAGAGACCCAAAGAATTGAGGTCAATTAAACCTATAGATTTCACACAGGTTTTAATTGACAATATTATAATATTAGGTATATGCCAAAAGTTTAAATATTCACTTAAATAAATATTTAAGCTTAAGTCACAGGTGTGTAGCTACTTTATGTGCTTTTAATATTCTTAAAATAATGATTTCATAATCTGCAACTAATTTTTAGCATAAGATTGTGCACCAAATTTGATATAGACTTGCCATCAATATGACATTTCCGAGGAGGAATATTAAGGAAATCATATCAATGAGGAATACCAGTATTTTTTTCCTAATGATCAGAAATGCAAACCTAAGGCAGATGTTTTGTTTGAGATATTTGTGAAAGAATGATGGCTAAATGCTGCAAAAAGTTTTTTTTTATGTGTGTGTGTGTGAAAAAAACAAAACAACCTATTAACACCAGCCAAAAAACCCATTGCATTTAAATTTGTTAGTTAGAAACATGAAATTAATCTGAGAAGCAGTTCGAAAATTGGTGATCAAACATTAATAATTAACTATTAAGATTTTAAAAGAAAGAGACAGAAACTTAAAAATCGCATTCCAAGTGCTATGACAGATATCAGAAGTAGCCAAACTAATCACATCTCAGGTGAAGTGCTGAAGTTTTAGTTGCAAAGAAATAGTAAATGGGAGGTTTCGGCTTAGTGGCAAGTTCCCATCGCTGCACTAAAGGAAAAGGTTTTGAGCTGGATAGTGCCTTTGGATCTAAGAATATCCTGACAGTGTTGGTAAGACTGGGGAAGGAAGACAGGATAAGTAGGAAGCAAGCCAGAGGCTGTTTCAGCCATCAAAGTTGAGCTGCTTATGGCAGCAGGAATGTAGAAAAGCAGATGAGAAAGCCTTCTCTCGGGCAGATGCAGGTCCACCTGGAGACAGAAGGTGCAGGCAGGGAAGGAGTTCAATGGCAGTGTAAGGCTTTCCAGATGGTTTCAGAAGCCGCTGAAAGGAACAACTTGACATAAATGTCCTACTTTTAGACCAACCATAAAACAGGTTCTAACCTCTGGCAAAGTCCTCAGAGGCTGCTAGTTTGTCCCTCTGAAAAAATTCTATTCCATCAAAAATTCTATTCCATCGGGTTCTTAACAAAGGAGCCCATGTTTAGCATTAATTTTGACTTTATGTGGGAGAAAAATGTACTTTCAACACAGGAATTTGGGGTAGCAAAACATAATCATTTTAATAGGAGTTGCACCTGTCCTCTTTCCTCTACTGTTTACTGAAAAAGTGACTTGGACGTCTGTTTTCCTACCAGAAAACTTAGGATAACAGTCCTTGCCTGCCCAGCAGCTGCTGTCAGTCTTCAGTGAGATAATGATACATGAGCCTTGCAAACCCATTTGGAGGAAGGAGGGTCATTAAAGTCCCTCTACCAATCTGATGGGTCCTATGTGCTGCTGATAAGGATACAGTTGACCCCAGGGTAAAGATAACGCTGAGATCCAGAATCTTAAAAAGTTGGAATGGGTCACCCAGAAAAAGATGATGTAGTGGAGAAGAGATTGTTCCTCAAGCTGTGGCCGTGCACATGTGAGCTGGTGGTCCTGTATTCATGAGTTTACCTAAGCAAAGTTACAAGCAATTACCTGTCATTCCATCTCTTCTATTAAAGAGAACATAGCATAACTCCAATGAATGAGAATGTTGACAATTCAACATTGATAACAATAGGTTAACACTTACTGTTTATCACAGGCTGGGAACATACGTGTTTTATATCTGTTCTCACCTTCAACCTGTAGGAAAATGATGTGAGGTCAGGTTTATGATTGATTTGAAATAGGCTCAGAGAGGTAAAACACCTGCCAGGGACTTCCTGGTGAAAAAGATGAAGCAGGACTCAAACATGTGTTTGCTTATCTCTGTGTTGGTGTTTATTGAGAGGGAGGAGGAAGTTGGTATTTATTGAGAAAGGAGGACTAGCGTAGGGAGGAGAAGGAAAACATTCACAAAGATTAGCCCACTACCTTAAATATTATTAGCCACAAATCATTTGTGACACACATCACCAAGTGAAAAACGATATAGAGAAATACTTTTCACACTGGCAGGCTTTCTACAGGAGAGCCCCATCTGCTCAGCAGAGACCGTGTGCCCCCAAATGGCCCGAGATGTAGCCTGAAGCAAATTTCTTATTCTATTCCATAATATAGCCATATTCTTTTAGCATCAAACATGACCCCCCCGTATTTTGGAGCAAAATGAAAGTGTCATAGAATGCATGGCATATTTCTTTTGTGCCTTTGGGTATCCCCAGGATTATCACTTTCTCCCCCATCCTACTTCAGTTTTAGAGAATCACCAGAAAAAAAGGCATATATTCATTAGCCTAGAGGTGAATAAAATAGACAATAATCTTTAAAAATGTAAAATCTATAATTCTGTCAACAAATTAACACTCCAAGGGTTTACAATACAATCATCATATATATATATATATATCTGAAGATTTTTATGCCGTTGCCCACTTAGGTATAATTGACAAAGAATTGACAGAATCTCTAGGAACTTCTGGTCTACCACTGAAATTAGTAGCAGCTAGAGTGCTGCTAATATTAACTTGTTTGGGAGGAGGGGGGCGTAATTCATCTGTCATTCTGCTTCTCAACAGAATCCTTCATTGCTCCTAAACTCCAACTTACTCCCTGTTGCAGTGAGAATCAGGAGACCTGTGTCTGTGGCCCCTTGCACCTGTTATCTTATTGACCTTATCCAAACAGCCCCAGCCCTGACAGCAGCTGAAATAACAGATGAGCAGGAGAACTTGAAGGTTTTTTTGACATTGTCCTTTTGTTTATAAAATCCACCTCCTCAAGTGTGGAATCTGATAGGAATTCTCTTCATAATCATTTAGTGTTTTTTTTCCCATGGTACTTTTTTGTTATTAAGATGAATAATGGGTTCAGAGAGGAGAGAGAGATGGAAAACTAGAATAACATCCCCCTTTGAAAATGACCAAAAGGTAAACAAGAGTGGAGATTTAGTTGTGTGTGGAATTGACATAAACATGTATTTGTCTTGGAGGATAATTGGTAATAGCTGGGTTTGTTTGGTGTTTCCTTTGTGGAGAAGTTAAAGACAGGCACCCCGAGGTCT